AATATTTCCTGAAGACGATTATGCATAAGAAAATCCTTTAGAGTCTGCGGATGAAATCTACACAGGTCTTCTGGAGTCAGGGAGGGGTAATGGGGTGACATGAAGAACAAAGCCCAGGGAGGGTTGGGGGAGCCCACCCTAGGCAATGGAGCCCACCGACAGGAGTAGGGAGAAGGCATTCAAGGTAGCGGAGAAAGAGGGAGAAAAAAAAGGGGAGAAAAACCAGTGAAGATGTGCTGGACATTAGACTTGGAAGGGGCCAGCTGGACATCTTATTTCCTAGAGCAGGTTACTGATCTCATTCATCTGATGTTCTGTTTACTTTGCAAACAATGACTTTGGATATTTTGATTTTAGACACCACAAATTTGAAGTGGTAGAACATTGTCAAAGATAAAGCTGGTAAGCTTCCCTTCAAGTGGTAAGGACGGTTTTATTCACTGATAACAATTGCAAAAGGGACGAGGGTTCAGCATGAACTGAACTCAACTTCGTGGCAACAGAAGGAAGAAGACTTTAAAGGCTAGTAAGCTTCCCTTCAAGTGGTAAGGACGGTTTTATTCACTGATAACAATTGCAAAAGGGAAGAGGGTTCAGCATGAACTGAACTCAACTTCGTGGCAACAGAAGGAAGAAGACTTTAAAGGCTGGGGTGTGTAGGGGCAAGACGCTGAGGGGCGTAGGGGATTGATCCATGTGACTAGGCCATCTGGGTTTGTTAATTGGAGCTTATCTGGAGGAGAAGTAAACTTCTGGGTACAAGTTAGGGCAAGGAGTCCACTGAAGTCAGGCCATTACCCTCCCACAGAGACTGAAGTGACATTCTCTCCCTGAATGTTTGCATTTCAGTGAGACAAGAGGCTCTCAGGTCCTTGGAAGGCAGTTTTGGGTGGTTAGAAGATTTACATCTCAAAGGGGCAGAGAAAGGATTTATAATTGCAAGTTTCTAAAGTAACTGCTCCAAGAGGGGGTTCAAGGGCTTATCTGCACACTGCCAGGTTTTGGCTAAAACAAACAGTAAATTCTCCTAGCAGGATGAGCTTTCTCAGGCAGGAGTTTTAAAGGGGGCCCTCTTAGGGCCATGCCTTAAACCACTAGAGGCCATGCTAGAGTTTGGAGAAAGTTTGTCAACATTCAGGTGGAAAAACCATGGATTTTACTATCACAAGATTCCCAGGGACTTTGGAGACAACAGCTTCAGGATAATAAGTGAGGCAGAAGACGCATTTCAATATTATATAGTGAATAGATGGAAAGCACAAGCAGCCAGGTTAGATATAACTAAGCCAAAATAATATAAGAAAGCTGAAAGTAAAACGTTGGGTAGGCAAATGCTAATTTGTTAAAAAAAAAAAAAAAAAGGAAGACTAGTTCATACTTAGAATATATGGTATGGCTTTTTAAAAATTTAGGTGATAGCAAAGGTACAATTCCTAACTCTCCCTTCTGATTATGAAGTCCTTGCTTACAGGACTCATGCCTTCTACTATTTTGTATGTCCAGAACCCAACAAATACTGTACAGACTGGGTACTAACAAAACAATTTATTGGTGATGGCATGATGCTGTATCTTACTTTCATCAATGACAATTTCTTCAAATGGTACCTTTGTAGATAAATTATGAGGTCCAGGCAAGACAATAGTATATCTGGTGGGTTTCCAGTTGTTTCAACAATGGAAATTAGCAAGCGTTAAATTGCTAGGTGATGTGAGCATGGAGGACCATCCTTTCTGGCCACAGCTCTTTCTTCCTCAAAATGATTTGGGTCAGGGCTGGCCCTGTGGTGCACTTGGGAGAGTGTGGCGCTTGGGTGCACAGCAGCGCTCCCACCGCGGGTTCGGATCCTATATAGAGATGGCTGGTGGGCTGCGATCCCCTTACCGGTCAAAAAAAAAGCCAAAAAAAAAAAAAAGAAAAGAAATGGATGTTTTATCTAAAGAAATATCACATGTAAGCTTCTGTGAAAGAATTTATTTCATCCTGCTGCCTACAACGTGCTTAGATTGAAATGATGAGTTAACTCCCATGTGTAAACCAGTTTTGTGTTCTTCTTACTGACGTCATTCTGTTTGAAAGCTGTTGACATAACACAGTTAGTTTCCTGGGATCCTGAACAGTTAACTCTGTATTTGTATATCATATTGAAATATATATCATATATCATATGCTCTGTATATGTTTGTGGTGATCATAACCCATCCATTGTCTTTTTTTATACTTTTGGTTGAGAGGAAAATTGTCCTTGAAATAATTTTTCCCTCCCAATGCCCATTCTTCCTTCCTTTTTAGGATTAAGAATGCCAATTTTTAGCTGGGGACACTGCTACCCAGCTAGTCACAAAAAAAGCCAAAAAAAAAAAAAAATGATTTGGGTCAAGACACAAAGAATAAGCTTAGCTAATATGTTTTAGAGAAGGGTTGATGATAGAATAAAGTTTTAAAATAGCTCAGTGTATTGGAGCCCAGGATGAAATAAGAACGTGACAAGCAGTAGAATATCATTCTATTCTAGCCTGTGAATTAGCTCTAAATTTTAGATGTTGTTTTCAAAATTTAGATGTTGGCAATGGAATGTCACTCGGTATTCTTTTTGTAACTGTGCAAAAATGCCTCAAGGGACTTGACACCTCCCCTGATTTATGTTTTAAGAACCAGTTTCCTATGGCACATTGAATAGCATATCTTTTGCAATATAGCATAAATATTAATAAAGCCCCATCCAAATATGATGCACATATGCTAGAGAATGAAAGTGCTCCAGTCAATTCATTGAGGCACACCGCTTCTTAATCTGTATATTTGGGCCCAGGGAAAGCAGGAATCATGTTTTTTCTCAAATTTAATCCTCCTGGCAGCCAAAAAATGTGCTAGGAACTATGGAAATTGATGCCGATTTCAGAGGATTTTTCTTTCCTTTTTCTTTTCCTTAATTCCTCTGTCTTTGAATCTTATATGCTAGGAGAGGAATAGCCTTCACTGGTGAGAAGTATCCTGTCTTTTAAAAACCAGCTTTCTTTGTTATTTTCATTTTTAAGTATATGCTTATTGTAAAAAATTTGGAAAACACAGAAAATAAAAACAGCCATAATCTCTCCCTACTACTCCTTGCCTCCCCCCACCCAAAATAAACACTTTTAACATTTTGATGGGTTTCCTTCCTGTCTTTGTTCTATTTGTTGGTTTCATTTGACCTAGTTCATATTGTGGAGCGAGAAGCCTCTCCTTAGGGTTTTACTGTAAAGGTCAATGGATTCAGCTAATTAACAAGAACATAATCACACTTCAGATTTGTGTAACTGTTTTAATTCATCACGAGAAGCCTCTCCTTAGGGTTTTACTGTAAAGGTCAATGAATTCAGCTAATTAACAAGAACATAATCACACTTCAGATTTGTGTAACTGTTTTAATTCATCAGAGCACATTGACATCCATCATTTCATTTGGTGACCACATCAGATAGACTAGACCATTTATCAGGAAACTCAAATCAGGGAGGAAAGAGGGGAAGTTGCCCCACAGCACATGGCTGGGAAAGACAGCCAGGATTTGTAGATTTCCTATCTGGAGATTTTCCCCTACAATAATTTTTATTTTCCTTTCCAACTAAGTCTGTATATCTATGCACAGAAATTCCATTTAAGAGCTGGGACTTCTACTTCCTGTGGTTTATTTTTGCTCCATAGAGCACATTAGTGTTTAATGTGTCTTCTGAGCTGCTGGCCTGGGACCTTTGCCACTGTCACATGCAAAGCAACAGTTTGCTTACCGTGCACCAGTTTCCTCTGTTGCCTGAGCAGCTGGGCTTGGTACTTGGCAGCAGGCATCTGGGGCACGGAGCTGCCTCTTCGGCTCCCCTGCCAACAAAAGAACTTGCCTCCCATTGTCACCCTTGGTACCTGCCTCAGCCATCATGTACGTACTCATTGCTATGTCTGTAACTACATCTGGGGCCCTTGCAAGAAGAAGCTTGGACGTTTCAACAGAGGGCTTTCCGTGTAAGTGGTACCTTTACCATCTGGCTGTTGCCTCTCTGCCAAGTTTCTTTACCACGAAAAGCAGTTCCATACTTGCTAGGCTTTTCATTTCTCTTTTAAAATTTCTTTTAAAAATTTATGCTTTTTGGCCTCTTTCCCTGTATAATCTCCCTCCACCCCCACCCCCAACACTAACATTTTTTGTAAATCTGTAAGATTAGGCAGACTCAACAATTAGACGAAATCTAGGATTTCGTGGAAAAGATATTAGGAAATTGAAATAGGATTGAGGGTAGCTGTTGGAGGTTAAAAAGAAAAAAGAGGCAGGTAGGAAGAAAAGGAGACTGTGTATAAGAGAAATCAGATGGGAGAAAGACCCTGGAAAACCCAGGAATTTCTGAATGGGGCATTTTAGGGAAAAAAAAAAAAAAAAAAAAGAAAGAAAGAAAAAATGAAAAGTCAATGTCATGTGAATTATGATGAAAATTAACATATCTCATTATTGGTTTTTGAAATATGTCTTCCCAACACGTTAAAGCTGACATTTCTTCATCAAGAAATGCTTGTCAGTTTTATTTTCAAATATCAAAGACTACTCTTAAAATCAAAATGTCCTTTCACGCAGGTTTCCTGTAGTTTTTTCCGTAATGTCTTCAGTATTTAATGTCTTCAGCATTAAACTTTCCAACTAGGTTTCTGTTTGTCATCCCTAGATAATTAATCTCATAATAGTGAAAGGCAAAAACAAAACAAAAAAACAAAAACCCACAAAATGTATCTTATCTGTTTGTGTCACCTAGTTTTTAATATATATAAATTATATATAATTGCATTCAGTCCCTACTCATCTCATTTCCCTTAACTAATCGGCCCAAATTTTTTTCTTTGATTTCAGGCCTGCTGCTCTCCCAGTGGGAGCACCACCTCTTCCATATTGTGGAAGAAAACACAGGTTCCTTGGGTTCCAAAGAAGCTGTTCACAAAGCCCCTGATATTCACAAAGTGAGATCATGATATCCTACCTGAGCTCATTGTCAACCCTGAACCCTTTCCTTCGGGCCAGCTCCATGAGGAATGCTCTGCGGGTGGTACCCATTTTCTTCTCCAAAATGAAGAGGACCAAATCTTGAAATTTGATGTCATGAGAAGTGGAGGCCATCGAGGTACCCGTCTGCCTGGGTCTCTTCTTCCGAGGGCCCGAGTGGGCCATTGGCAGCAGATCCATGGAAAGAGGCTGTATTGCCTTTGCTGTGCCACCAAGTGGTGTCTCCAGAAGTGAGGGGAGCCTTCCACCCTCCTGCAGAAGGGCTTTGATGTCATCTCACCGGCAGGCTCTGAAGCTTGGGCAGGGCTTCCTGGGGGCTGCCCTGGCGACAGCTTCCTGCTGAAGAGCAGTGGGGAATTTTTATCTCTGTTCAGTTCATTTGTCCAATATGGAGAGCATAATAAAAACAGTAAATTAACTTTTGTTTTCATGTGCATAATCTCATCAGCTCTCAGAATAACCTTGTGAGGAAGGTCAAAAGCATCCTTGTTTCCATATGATTTATCTTTTTATTTCTAAATGTGTTGAGTCCCCTCCACTGTCTCTATTATTGATCCCTTTTTAATCTCCCAACTCACTTGCGTTCTCTTCCTCTCAGACAATCATTACACACATTGGATGTCTATTGTCTGCATGGGTGTTATATGCTGCGTGTGGTTGTTTTGATTTTACATAAATGACATTGTTACATTTCTCCTTCTACGACAACCGTATTTTCACTCAGAACTATGGTTTTCAGATCTTCTAATTGCTCCATAGTATTTTGTGGTGGGCATTTACCATGTTTCCTATGTGGATGCATTTTATAAATGAGGAAACCAAAGCTCAGACAATTACTCAAAATCGTAGAATAAGGGGCCAATCCAGATCTTGTATTCAGTTCTTCTGGCTCCAAATGCTAAATATCTAAGTTTTTTTCAGTGGACTAAGGTTTTCCAGAGAGTAGTCTATTACATAACCCTAAAATAGATCTTTTGGGATGGGATTAAAATGACCTTTAAATGACAACCACTATCATAAAGAGACATTTTTGTAACTTTATATGCAAAGTGAAATTCATGTGTTTCATCAACACAGTGTGTAGATCTCATTTCCTGAACACCTGCTATGTGGCCAAGGCAAGCACCTACAAGCCTGAGCTGATTGAATCCTCACACCACCATTGTCAGGTAGGTACGACCATCCCCATGTGGCTAAACTACTTGCTCAAGGTCACTTAACATCTAGTAAGTGGTCATAACTAGGAAGTGATTGAGCTGGGATTTAAACTCAGATCTGTCTGATTTTAAAAGCTGTGCTCTTAACCACCAAGAAAATTTCTTTATATGTGTCTTCCCCAATAACAAATTTGAGCTTTGCTCACCTACTTTGCCTTATTATTTGAGACATTTGCTACCTCCAAAAGCACACGAACACCTCACCACACACCACGGGAAGAGTGATGTGATAGCTGCCTTTAAGCATTTGCAAAGCTTCAGGTAGAAGTCGTACAGTAATATATTCCAGCTCTCTGTAAATGATAACTGTTTAGTAACTATAGCCATCTAAAAATATAGAAAGAGCTGCTTTGTGTGATGTTCAAACAGATGCTGAATAATTGTTTATTGAAATGTTAAAGAAGGGATTCGAACATCTGGTAAGGACTTTTATTGCAGCTCTGAGATTCCAAGATGCTCTGATTGCTTGCTAGAGATCAAAATTTGGGGATGAGAGTCCATTTCATCCCTTGCTGTTAGGTGTTTGGTTGCTGAAGTGCTGAAAGCTCATGTCAGAATGCAGTCTTTACCATGTGATGCCGCAGCAAGGAGAGAGCAAAGGATTCTAGCAAGAGTCTGGGGTTGTTTTCATTCCTAGGTCCTAGCCTCCTAAGGGTAAAGGCATGCCACCTACACAGTAAAGGAATGCGGAGGTGGTACAGAGATGTGGCTGAGAACTCAGGCTGCTCATAAAACTTCCATCTCCATTGCTTTGAAGCTGTGACCTTGAGCATCTTGCTTAACTTCTCTAAGCTTCGGGTTTCCCCATCTGTAAAAGGAGACTGAGATGGCCTACTACGTAACCTGCTGAGCAGAGTGCTTGACACAGAAGAAGCACTTTAAAAAACCATTGCTTTGAAGCTGTGACCTTGAGCATCTTGCTTAACTTCTCTAAGCTTCGGGTTTCCCCATCTGTAAAAGGAGACTAAGATGGCCTACTACGTAACCTGCTGAGCAGAGTGCTTGACACAGAAGAAGCACTTTAAAAAAATGTCAGTTGGTAGCAAGTTGTATTTTGTTTTTTTTTTTAGAAAGACCTCCCGGTTCAACCTGAAATCAAGTCTATATGTTTTGCAAAACTATTAAGTCATCAAAATATCCTATTAATCCATGTCATATTTAATTTGCTTCTGAAGCACTGATATTGAAAAAGTTACTGACAAAACTTTAAAATGTGATGATGCCTGTCTGGTTATTAGGTCTCTAAGCTCCAAATTTACCTGTCTCTGATGGGTTCTATGAGGTCCGGGCTGGGACAGTGCAAATCCTATTTCTCATTTGTCAGCCAACTCTATGCGAGGCTCTGCCAATAGGGGGCACTAGAGGGAGACTGCGAGTCTGGAAACAGGAAAAGGACTTGACCCTTTTTGTTTGCTTGCTGCTGTCAGGATTTTCTCAATGGTAATCGTCTTCACTCTAGCGGCCGTAATTGGCTCTAGTCCTTAGCTTTTTTGTTTTTTGT